TCCATATCAAGAGACCCAACCCAAGACTACGGCAAAGGGCAAACAAGAATTAGCCAATTTGGAATTTGGGATCAATTACAGTCAGAATGTCTCAAGAATTCAGGAGACTGCTTTTGATCTTCCCTCATCTCGGCGATCTTCCAAATCTGGCCCCTCCCCTCTACCCCCTCATGACGATCTTGACTTGGAATATCAAGGGATTGGGCAACCCAAGAAAATGCAGGCACGTCCACAACTTCGCTTCCTCTCACTCCCGCTTTGTTCTAACCCTGGTTGAAACTAAACTCCCTGGGCCTTCCCTCTCCCTCATTCGACAAGTTTGGGGGTCTAGACCATGTCAGTGGGGGGCATTAGATACTTTAGGGGCATCGAGTGGCATTTGGGTCATATGGAACCCAACCTTTCACAACTTGTTATCCTCTAAAGTTGTGAAAGTTGTGAAAGGTTGGGTTCTGGCCCTATCATGTTAGACACCGTTCCAGCCATTCGTTCATCCAAACCCTTCAGATTCGAGCTGGCTTGGCTAAAGGAGTATAATTTCAATAACCTTTTTCACAAGTGGTGGACCTCTTTCTCTAGCAATGTCCACGGATGGGTAGGGTATCGGCTCCAAAAGAAGCTTCAATGTCTTAAGGGTTCTCTTAAAGCTTATAGTGCTCTGCTACCAGAAAATTTTCGATCCCAAAAGGCCATCTTCTCCATTCAATCCAATTGTGGGACTCTACACAGGAGACTCATCCTCTTGCAGATAATGAGAGATCCCGCCGAGCCGAGGCCAAGTTTGAACTACAACTCTTCTTAAAGAAAGAGGAATTTTTTGAGCCCAACTATCAAGAGTGAAATGGCTTAAACACGGTGACCTCAACACCGAATTTTTTCACAAAATAGCCAATTGTAGAAGAAGAGATAATACCATTACTCAGATTAGAGTGGGAGATACTGTGCTCGATCAACCTCCTTTGATAGAAGATGCAATCACTGAGTACTTCAAAAAACTTTTTGAGGAACCTCGATGCCCTAAACCCTTGGATGATCTTTCTTTCCAAACCATCTCTCCTTCTTCTGCTGGTTGGCTCGAAAGGCCTTTTGAAAAGTCTGAAATCTTAAAAGGCAATCTCAGATCTTGGCCAAGACCGAGCTCCGGGTCCTGACGGATTCCCAATCGCTATCTTTAAGATTTTTGGGAACCTTAAAAGAGGATATTCTGGCCTTCTTCCATGAATTCCATTCTAGAGGAATCATTCATCATGCAATGAATGCCACTTTTATTGCGCTCATTCCTAAAGTCGAGGGGGCGGAAGAACTCAAAGACTTTAGGCCTATTAGCTTGATCAATAGCTCTTATAAGATTCTCGCCAAAGTGCTCGCTTCGAGACTGCGAGAGGTCCTTAGCTCAGTGATCTCGCCAAGTCAAGGAGCTTTTGTTAAAGAGCGTCAAATTCTCAATGGTGCATTCGTTGCTCATGAGGCCATCCACTCTTGACATCGTGCTAAGTTACCCAGTTTAATCATCAAACTCGATTAGGAGAAAGCCTATGACCATGTTAATTGGTCCATCCTTGATGAGGCATTCCATCGCATGGGTTTTGGTAGTCAATGGAGAGCTTGGATCAAAGGTTGCATTTCAAGCCCACACTTCTCCATTCTTATCAACAGATCTCCCATAGGTTTCTTTCCATCCTCCAGGGGGCTCCGCCAAGGAGATCCTCTTTCCCCCTTTTTATTCACGATCGTAGTTGAAGTTTTCAAGAGATCAATTTCTCGAGTTTACCAGGCCGGCTTGCTCAATGGATTCAATATCAGCAACTCGGGACCACTGATCACTCACCTACAATATGCCGACGATACCTTGTTGTTTTGTGAGGCATCGCAGGCACAACTTAATGCTCTTCGTCTTTTCCTCAAGATATTTTAGATGACCACAGGAGTTAAGGTCAATAAGGTCAAATCTAAGATGAGTGGTGTGGCATTGGACCCTTCTATTGTGAGAAATTTTGCTTCAAACTGGGGCTGCTCGTCGGAGGACTTGCCCTCCACATATCTGCGACTGCCCCTCTGCATAGGTAAGCCTAGACTGAATCTTTGGAGCCATATCATTGATAAATATGACTGTAGATTGGCAGGGTGGAAAGGAAAGTTCCTATCTCCAATAGGCCGCCTTACTTTGATTAAAGCCACGCTCTCTCTAGCACCCCTATATTTCAGATGTCACTTTTTCATATGGCAACCTCGATGGCCCACCGTTTGGAGCAGCTAATGAGAAACTTTTTGTGGTCCAGCAACGGGGATAGGAAGATCCATCTTATATCTTGGAAGAATGTCTGCAAAGAAAAATCTTGCTCTACTTGGGAAATGGGGGTGGCGCTTAGCTACCCAAAACAACCATCTCTGGCATGAGGTGATCAACTCAAAATACCACAGTTCAGACCCCTCTTGGGTACCCCTCCCAACCAGCGCATAGCAACTCCTCGAGGATATGGAAGTCCATATTGCGTTCTTACTCACACTTTCAATCCATGATCAGGTACAGGCCTAGGCAGGGCAACAAAACGTTGTTCTGGATCGATACTTGACTGGAGAATGAACCCCTTAAAGACCTATACCCTAGACTTTAATGCAACTGTGGAATCCCCGTTTCAACTGATGGGCAATAGGAGGGTGTGGAGTCCTACCCTCAGAAGACCACTCTCGGATCCAGAATTCCAGGAATTAACAGCCCTTTCCATCACTCTAAACTCTGTCTTCGCGCCCATTCGAGACCAAGATAGCCTCATCTAGACCCCCAACCACTCGGGTTCCTTCTCGGTGGCCTCTTTCTACTCTTCTCTAGCTCATCCCAGAAGCTCCCCTGCTTGCCCTAATTCTATTGTAAACAAAGTCTGGATCCCTTTGGTTCCACCCAGGATTCAATTCTTCAATTGGATAACTGGATCCGAGAGAGCCCTTACTGTAGATCAATTGCAGAGAAAGGTCTCCAAATCCCAAATAGATGCATTATGTGCACTGAGGACGAGGAGACCAATGCTCACCTCTTCATCCATTGCAAGGTAGCCTCGTCTATATGGCTGACATCCTTCAGTTATTCCAATGGCAGTGGGTGATTCCACCTGATGGGCCTCATCTCATCAGTTCTACCTTCTCAACACCCTGGCCTAAGGCCATCACCTGTTGTGGCAGGCCTTGGTGGCCGCCACCATTTGGACAATCTGAACTAAGAGAAATGCCAGAATTTTTTAAAGCCAGTCATCTCCGGTGAATGCAGTAGTAGTAAAGATCAGAGAAGCAGTCATCTTCTGGGCCACTCACCACAAATAGTTCAAAAACCTTTGCCACTCTGACTTTCTCCACAACTGGACTCCCATTCTCTCCTTCAAAACTCAAAGGCCATCACGCTCTTCCATTTGGAGACCACCCAAAGAGGGCCACATCAAGCTTAACTTCAATGGGTGTTCTCTCGGAAACCCAAGCCATGCAAACATAGGTGGCTTGTTCCGCGACCACACAGCAATACCTTTTAGTCCTTTCTATTCCTATTGGTGTCTCTGATTCAACAATTGCGGAGGCCTCTGCCCTCCACGAAGGCCTCAGGAAGTTAGACACTAGCTGGGGGCAGTATGTAACAGTTGAAGGCGACTCTTACAGTGTTATAGCCTGGGCCTCAGGCACTGCCCCCTGGCCTTGGAGGCTTGACAACATACTCGAAGAAATCTGTTAACTCACAAGGAATCTACAAATCTCATGCAATCATGTTTGGAGAGAAGCAAATGGTGAGGCTGATTCCCTAGCAAAGGCAGCTACAACCTTGTCTCAAGCTAACCTGAGCAACCATTAGGGAACCTTCGCTCGACTCCCAATCACAGATTGGAATTGTTATAATGGCTCAATTCATGTAAAGCTTTTTTGATACACCCTTGGTTTTGTACAGGGCACCCATTTGTGGGTTGCTTATTTTTTTCGTGGAACCCGTCTGTGGGTACCCTGCCCCCCTCTCCTCTCACATTCTGTACTCACTTTCCATTCAATACAGTCAACATATTCAAAAAAAACAACCATGGCTACAGCATTCCCCCAAAATTTGATAGATAACAAAAAAAAATAAGCCTTAAAACATTCCACCTCTTCCCATCTTTTATGTAGTCAACATGAAATTTGCAACTCACATTCCACATTGCCTGCCCCTTAGCTGACAAACGAGCAACTCCAAAATAAGAGCCTCAACATGTCTACCCACACAAGAGAACACACCTTCCCCCCTCTCCCAATCCAAAACCCACTCACTCAGCTCAATACTCAAAATATCCATCTAATTCTAAAAACTTAGCTAGTCCGACTCAGATTGCCCAAGTCACTTGGAACTAGCATCCTGCCAGATCGGGAATAGCAAGACTCGGACAGTCTGAGTCTACCCAAGACTGATCAGCCTCTACGCAAATCTGATGAAGTCTAAAAAATCAGGCAAATATTCTCCAAAAAGTACAGCTTTATGAGGACAAGACTCGCCAACCCGAGCCAACTTGCTCCGGACAGTGGCCGATTTTTGGGGCGAGTCAAATCTCTAAAACACTGGCCCACCAATGCAATATATAAATGGCTGCAAACAAACTGCACAAGTAGTGCATGTAACCAATGCAGCTAGCATGTCCTCCATCATAACATCAATAAAATTTAAGGTAAACCACTATAGAGTAAACATAAAAACAAAAAGTAGATATCAATTATAATATAAAACAGAATATAATGTTTCCAATGGTCTATTGAAAAACCATGCCCACATGGATATCAGCATTCAACCAAATGGTGGATGGCGATGGGAGAGTGGGACCCACCATTACTCTCCACTCTTTACCTCCGTCACCGTACATCATTTATCAATGCATGATGATCACATCAATGATAAGCCAATGGCCAACGGACCATTGTTTTCTTCCATATTCCACTGAATTATAATATAGTTTCCCAAAAAATTAAAGAAAAGAAAAGGAAGGAACAAACTAAGCTACCTTTTCAGGAGCAACCGAATCAAACACATAAACCTCGCCCTGAAATGACAGTTGAAGCTGGTTTGTGCCCTGACTTCGCAAGGGGATGGCAGTATGAGGGTCTCCCAAATTACCAGCATCAGATGATCCATCCCCCTCCATGCCTTCGCTACCCCCACCTTCCTCACCATCATCCTCCAAACCACTATCATTGTTTTGAAGTGGGTGCCCATGCTCTTGCATGTAATGCACATGCATTGGATCACCCCCATGAATTTGGGCCTCTGGATTCACATCATCAATCTGACCGGGCAAGTGCATCCCATGCATTTGGACTTGAGGATCGGTCATGGGGTTTTGAGCAGCTGAATAAGCATGAGAGAATGTGGTATGATGCTGATGAAGATTTCGATTGGCCTGGCTGTTGATCTCAACACTGTGATTATCAGACATCTCTTCACATAACTGGTACCGAATCTACTTTAAACTGATGGTTTCCAAAGAACAACGAAAATGAATTAGACAGAGGAAACAGCACGCAAGAAGAATAAGAGAGGAAGCAAAATATGAGACCTACCAGAATCAAATTAACAAAACAAAAGCCTAGCCTAACTAACCATTTAAACAGAAAAGGATAAAAAGAGAAGGAAACCAGGAAGATGAGGAAGTAGCAAAAACAAGAAGGTAAGTAAAATTAAGAGCTCAGACTGAAAAGAAAATATTTTCATGGAAAAAAACAAAAGTCATATCAAATAAACATAAAGGTGGATTAAATGGTTAGATCATAAGCTCTTCTAAGACAATGCCCCAACTAGATAGTCGATGACTATGAAATAATTGTGTTAACCAACAAAAATATAGGTTTCAAAGAGAACATTAGATGTTGCAAAACATGAAAAATATCATGGATAAACTAAAAGGAAATAAAACCCCAACAGAAATTCAACAAAAAATTGTTCCACAAATTATGAGTGTAGAACTAGCTCTGAACATGTAGAGATTTCAATTCAATGTTTAACGACATATAATTCTAGGACGAGAAAACAGGGTCCTGTTTCAGTAGCAGTACAGAAAACAATCCCCCAAATGTTTTAGCTACCAGACCAAAACCTACAACTATTTTTTAATACTAGCCATGAGAGCAAAAACTACACTAAAACCTAGAGAATCAACAACCGAACCTATTATGTAACCAAAAACCCTAACTATCAGTGGATCCAAACCACCTAAAAAACCCCAATTGTTTCTCAGATCAAATCTAAAACCATTCTACTTTAGCTGATACCCTAATGCATGCATCCAGAAACTGAAAACCTAGTCAAAACTAAAATTAAAACGATAAATGGCAGAAAAAAAATATGAAAACAATAGAAATTCCATAGTAGAAATACCTCTAACAAAAACCTCGAATCCTAAAGGAATGGTTAGGAAGCTTCACCCTTCAAAGACCAAGCAAAATTAGGGAGAGATTTAAAGAGAAACCTCTTTTAGAGAGATTTAAAGAGAAGCAAACCTCTTTTAGAGAGATTTAGAGAGAAAAACCTCTTTTAGAAACTCTATGTGGAGAGAAGATTTCTCTGAAAAAAAAATAAAAATTGAGCGATGAAAGAAAGAAGAGAAGCATCATAGGGGTAATTTGACAATGGCGAAAGTATCCCCAAAAGTAGTACAGTATTGCAAAAACACCCCCGTGAGAGAAAATTGGAAAGGACGCGGTTAGCATGCGGCCAAGCCCGCAATGTAGAAATTCGGTCTTGGCAATAAATATATGTTTGAAATATAATTCGATCCTGATTTCTAGATAATACATAATATTTAATATGGAGATCATATTATATGAATAAATAAATAAATTTTAAAATTTATAAATAATAATTATATTAATAAAACATTTTGGCCGTTAACTACAATTTTTTTAGATGGATCACTTATTTGCATCCATCTTTAATATGGATGCTTCATACCTCTAGACTGCATATTATATAAATGTGGTCCAGCCCACATGAAACAATAGTTCAATTGGAAAAGACACATATCTTCAACTTTTGAAAATTTAATTATATGAAAAAAATTTGATAAATTGTTATTATTTTTTTTTCTTTCTTTATTTTTCTTTTATAATTAAAGCAGTTTATAAGCATGTTGTTGAGTGAAATTAGAATAGTGGGTTACATAAAATTTATTTTATTAAATATTTATATGGTAAACGTCTTTTCTTTATATATATTATGTTCTACACTTCCTAGAGTTAAATCACATGATCTTGTGGCTCCAAATTTCAAAAATTAAATTATATGGCAATTTTTTATTTTAATAATTATGTTAAATACTATTATTTTATAATTTTTCAATAGTTTATGAATTTAAAATTATTTGACCCTAAATATGGTGTTTCTTGAAAATTTGAGAAATTAATTATAAATAAAATTTTCTTTTTCGTGAATAATTATATGACAAATATTATTGCTTTATAATTATTCTATAATTTGTGAATTTAACTTAACATGGTCCTAATTATGTTGTTACTTCAAAATTTGAAAATTGAATTAAATTAGAAAAATGAATTACATTGAAGTGTTTTTTTATGAATAATTATATGAAAACTTGTATTTTTTAATTTTCCAATAATTTATAAGTTTAAGGACACATCTTAAATATTTTGCTTCAATTTTCAAACATGAAATATATGGCAAATGTTTTCCTTTTTCAATAATTATATGTAAAATTCTAGTACCCCATAAGAATTTAAATAATAAATAAATTTAAAGCCACATCAACCTAAATATATGTCATCGGGTTAACTCTTGTGATAAATAGTTATCTTGTTTCAAATATATTGGATTATCCCTATATATTTATCTAAGGGTAAACCATAAAAATTAATGGCGGTTGTATCCACGAGGGAAGTCGCTTATAATAACTATAGTTTTTATATAAATTACACAGCAATTTAGTACCCAAATTGGGGAAATTTTTTTATGGTCTTTTAAGGTTCGGATTATGAATATAAATAATGGGGGCAAACAAAATAAAGGTGAGGTTTGTATAAGGTGTCAACCTTATATTATTGAAATAAGGTATACCTCAAAACTATACCGAAAATGCAGTTTCGGTGCCGCAAAACCTTGCAATCATATAAAAGTTTATTGTTACCCTCAATTATGAAATTTTAAGTTCAAAAAATGGTTTATATAAGGTGTCACTGAATCTTACATTATATTATAAAAAAAGTTTATATAAGGTGTCACTGTATGAGTAAGGTGCATTGAAAAAACCCACTAAAGAAAAGGCTGTCCTGAATGTTGAAAACCCCTCAAATCGATCATCTCGACTTCAATATTCATAAACATGAAAAAAAAAGGGATTTTTAGTCCTAAAAATAGTTCATCTTCTAACAAATTATATAGAAACCTTTTCTTTTTATAATACACATGATATGGATATATAATAAATGTGAATGTGAATTATCAATCAAGAAAAAAAATATTGATATGAATTTTTATTTCCTCTCAATGATTTTTTTCCCCCAAACTTTTTACATCTAATCTATGAAAGATTTTCGATTCGTAAATCAATCTCCCCTCGCATTCTTAATATTTTTCAGCAAATAATATATGATATATTATTATGGTTGTTGTGGATAAATTTTATGATTAAGAATTTTCTTGTGATACAGGCGGGAAATGCTCTTATTTTATCAAGGCATAAATTAGTTCAAAATAATTAAATGCAGAAAAATATAATTAAAATAATAAATAGGGCGTAGTAATATCATATTTCAGCTGCTAAAAGTTACAAGTTTTAGAACAAAAATCGTGATTGTAAAGAATTCAAAAATATGCTCCTACCATCCCACATTAATATGTATATACTGGCATTAATTAATAAGAAAATATCTTCATATTTTCTATTTTTAGGTTTTATTTCTAAATAAACTCAATGTTTCAAAAAATATCTTCTGACCAGGTGACCACTTTAAACGTATTTTTTGACCTAAATAAATGTGAGAAATACATGCTATTTTTAAACCCAATCTTTTCTCTCTCTTCACTTATATACTCCAAACTTCTCTCTTTCTCTCTCTTCATGCATCTCCCACTTTCACTCTCCTCCTATGTTTTTCCGAACACTTCTCTCTCTCCTCCCAGTAACCTCTCACTTCCATGACACCCTTCTCTAAAAGTTCGAGAGGATAGCTATCATTATCTTAATTTTTATGAATAACATATATTAGATGTTATAAATAGGACACTTTATAGCAATGGCTTACAAATCTATTGTTTATTTTGGCACATATTAGTTAAAACTAAAAATTTAAAATGAAAAATTCATAATTTTAAACTAAGGTTCAAGATTAATAAACTAGATTGGAGATCATGCAATGCGTGGGAAATTAGCATAGTTGGTGTTGGATGTCATATGCAAAATATCTTATTTGGAAAAATAGGAAATATGCTTATATGGATGGACGATGTTTAGCATCTAACAAAGATATTTCGAAGGATCACCATTGAATTTGATACAGATCTCTAGACTAGAAAAGTTATCACATGGGTGTGGGATTTAACTTTTCTAGAGATAATGCCAAATTTAACAGTGATTCTTTGGGCTACATACATGAGTGTGGGAAGGTCTCACCAGGACATTTCCCTTTTGATAATACCAATATAAAAAAAAGAGTAATGATCATATGAAACTCTTCCACACCCATGTGTGTAGGACTCGAAATGATCACCATCAAATTTGACACAGACATCTAAAAAAAAAAAAGAGTAATGATCATATGAAACCCTTCCACACTTATGTGTGTAGGACCCAAAATAATCACTATTAAATTTAATACATATCTCTAAACAAATTATCACATTGATGTGAAACTTGGCTTACACACATAGATGTGGGAGGATCTCGTAAGATCATTAAAAGAATGTCTAAGAAGCGTTCAGACATCTAAAATACCAGACACAAGTGTCATATTCCTAACACGTCGGGGAACGTAAAGACCCATTCACACACGTGTCCATGTTACATAAATGTGGTGTGATTCACTTAGATGCTTCTTGTTCAGTATTAACATCAACAAATGATCTAGTTGATCTACATGGCAACTTTAAGGCATCGTTACATACATTTATTATCGCTAATAATTTACAAAAAAGCATCTAACCATGGGATGTGGATATTTCCAAGTTTTATTATATATACTATAATTTCCACAATTTGAAATGGAATAGAATAAAGACCATTTATCTTTGACACAAGAAGGTCACAATTCCTACAAACATTTGATGTGAAATCTGATAGCTTGGGTATGCCACAAAGTTCAAGAAGTTTTTTTTTGAAGTTTGAGCTCGATCAATGCTATAAATGCATCTATCTAATTTCACACTCAATGGTCAAGATTAACTGTGACAACCTTGCACCAAAAATAAAATGTCTAATTGTATAATTTTCCATTTCAAATGCATATTCTCGGCCTTGATGAATTTCCCCAAAAAGTAATCAAAAGTAATCTTTATTTTAGCTAACTAAAAACATGTGGATCTCTTAAATTTTTAATAATTAGACATTAAACCCTAATTATTTAGACATTAAACCCTCTCCTTCATGTTTTCGCTATCTAAATTACCGTTTTAACTGTGTTCTTTATCTTAACATCACCTTTAACCCATATCCCAAAAAAAATACCCACAGATCCATAATCGATTGATACCTCTCTCTCCATCTCTACCTACCCAACCTAATTCAAAATGGAGAGAGAGAGAGATTGAAGAATAGGGTCAAGAGAGTATGCGTAGAGGATGGGAAAGAGAAGGGGTCAGGGGAGGTTTGAGATGAGAGAAAGAGGGACAAGAGGAGGGCAGAGGGGTGGGGTTTAAGGTTTCATAGAAGAGAGAGAGGCTTTTTGTTGGGCAGTTTGAGATAGAGAGAGGAGGAAGGGGTGTAGAGAGAGGGGTTTCAATACGCCATGGTTTTGGAGATGTTCTTTTGGACACAGGTTAAAGGTGTGAGGGACTAAAATAAGGCAGGGGGTTTTCAAATTCAAATAAATGGAACCAGCATTCATACAACTGCCTAAAGTCCTAAAATTTCAATTGAAAAATATTTTTCTTAGTGTAATGGTAAGAACTTTGAGTCGCAATAAAATTTACAGGGGAGTGAAACCAATCAGGATTTTTCAAAAGTTTCCTACTCTTCCATGTTTCAAACACTCCAATTCCTAAGTTCAGGACTGTTCTTGATAATCCACACACACTACAGATGAGTTCATAAATTAATGGCTCTGACCTACCAAGACTCGAGTTCCATCTCAAATCTCCATTCCAATAAATCACAATCCAAACAGTCCATTCACGATGACTCAATTCAGTTCTTGGCCAACCAGATGTAAAATCTCAGCAGTTCATCTGAGCAAACCTCTTCACCACCTCAAGAAGCTTTGACAAAGGCTTAATATCAGGTGGACAAGGGATTAGTCCACAACACCAGCTCATCAATCTTGCTCAAGCTCCCATCATCCAATCTTTTCCATGTCTTGATTCTATGGACCCCTTTCCAGTTTCTCTCACCTCTCTCTAGCTCAGCCAGTATAACCCTAACTC